GGCTAAGCAGCCCCCCCCTCCCCCCCTCATGTTCTCTACGTGTCCGCGCCGATTGGCGATGCAGCCTTCGGCTTGTGACACTTTCTCCGTAGAACCAGTTCTCGTGATGCATCGTCCGTTGGGTTCTCGTCAGAGGTCGCAACCGGGTACCCGATACCTGTACCCTACCCGATACCCGGCTAACCGTACCCGGCCGGGTTCGGGTAGCCGTTTGCGACCCTGGTGCGGCCGGGTACGGGTAGGCCGTGAGTCACTGGTGAGTAACCGTTTGTCACTCATTTCCCAACGTCTTGTCTCTTCTCACAATTCAAGTTCCTAGAATCAATCCACCCGCGCCTGCAATATGGCTTTATCCCAGAGGTCGCAATCGGGTACCCGATACCCGTACCCTACCCGATACCGGTACGGGTAGCCTGGTATCGGGTAGGGTACGGGTACCCGTTTGCGACCCTGGTGCGGCCGGGTACGGGTAAGGAATCAAAACCCGTTTGCGACCTCAGGTTCTCGTGCGTGTGAGAATTGCTAAAGGTGTTTTGAGACTGTAATTCGTGGTTTTCGCGACCCCTGCGGCGGCCACTGGAGGGCGCTACACTCACTGGGACGGAGCGCAAAAGAATCGATTTATTTTCATCGAATCGTGATCCGAATTGGTTGCACTCTTTTCAGCCTATCATCGCTGACAACATGATTAGAATCCTTTTGATCGTTAACTTCTTGTCCATTCTGGCACCCCCAAGAGTTTGGCCTTCTGCATCGATTGACGGCATCAAAACACAATTTTGTGTTGAGTGACACGCACGCGCGATTTGCCAATGCAGTGGGTTTTGAAGACGATCCAAGGGTCTGACATTTTGTTACGCTGCACATGCTTTGGATGGCACATTTTCACGATGCATGCGCGCAGTTAAAGCGTGCTATGCTTGCGTGGCAAATAGCATTCCATGCCATGGCCACACACGGAAATCAATTTGAAAATAATGTGTTTGTTCCCAGTAGAAAAAGAGGCTGCACTTGTTTATCCAAAAGACTGAACTCACTATACATTGTTTAGCAAAATAGAGCCAAAGCCAAATGCATGGCTCTTTGACTAAGTACACTGTGAGTCTCTCTAAAATTTTAATCAGACCAAGCCACAATCTCCCTGGCCCTCTCGTTGCTTGTGGCTTTCGTGTTAAGCCCAACACACTGGCAGCCTTTCCCTGGAACTGCGCACATTACAAATGTATACAACGAACCACATTGAATCTGTAGTAACGATGATAATGATGATGTTCTTTATGTAACCAAGGCAAGCCACACTCACTCTCAAGGCTTTCTCAGAAGGGTTTTAGCTCTGGCGTGTTTTGCCAATTCCACTCTTGAGAAGAATTGCTTTGTGCCACAGTGGCAAGATGTTAACTTCTTCGCCTGGTATACAGAAGGTCATGGGTTCGATCTTGACCCTGATGCCTTCTGTATATTTGGAGTTTGCATCTCTCTCCCTCCCGTGGTCACGGGGATTTTTCTCCGGGTCATCCGTGTTTTTCCTTCCAGATTTCGAATCAATATAATGCGTTTAGAGTATTTGGTTGCGATGAAATGTCCACATTATATACATGTATAGCTCAGTGGGCCTTACCTGGTAAAATAAAAATATTTTAATAGTTTAAAAGAATATTGGTCTCTTCCCCCACTGCCTTTTCTCCTTCACTTTTGTTTCTCTTCCCTCGCCTTTCCTTCCCCATGTAAAACCCTACACTCCTACTTCTCGTAGTCCCTAGATTAGCGGGGTTAGCGAGCCCACGCTTCACCCCTTCCCAGAAGCCAGGAAGCACTGAGTTCGGGTTTCGGCCCGTGGAATTCTGTACCCTCCCTCCCCTCCTGTGGTTCGTGCCTTTTACCGGGCTCTTGTCAAATAAATTAAATAAATACAGAGTATTTTGCACGTGGGAGAAAGGAAGAAGACCGGGAGAAAGCCCACACACACATGGGGGAGTGTGGGGAGGGTTTAATAATTAATTGCTGCAATTCCATTGAAATGGCTTATTGCTAAGTGTACACTCCCTATCTTGGTTTTTGTACATCTCAATGTTATTGCAGTTGTTGAATACGAGTAAGTAATATCTCATCTGGTCCTGGGTGCACCCCCTCCACCAGCCCTTCACCACCCCTTCACCACTCCTTCACCACCCTCTCCACCACCCCTTCACCAGCCCGCACTGACCGGCTTGGTGAAGTATGGTCAAACGACCCCCATGAACCTGCGTGCTGTGGGGGAGGCCTTTATCTAGCAGTGGATTGATTAAAGGTCTGTAATTCAACATTGGACAGTTGCAAATACTTAGTTACTTACAGTTTATCACGTTTCAAAGTCAAAGTGCCACGCTGCTCTAAAGAGCAATGGGGTGGTGGTGGTACACACCGCTCTTGGCAGCCCTTTGAAGCGAAATTCCACATTTCCATGGCGAGGGCCACTCTCGTCGTAAGACAATCGCTGTTGACTTCCCGTGAAGTGGGAACTCATTTTTAAATCCTTTATATTAAGTTCGCTTGCTTGCTTAGGACCGTGCAAATCTTTCGGTCGTTTTTTAACCCACTTCCCGTGATCCAATCGAGCTGACATTTTCCACACAAACTCGTTGTGCGTGACAATTAATGTTCGTGAAAATTTTTTTCCAAAATTTTACACTTTTTAGGACAAAAATATTATATTTAATTACCAATTGCTTAATGGTGCAATGCAATCATCTGACCCATAGGTGGCAGCCATCTCAAGCCAGAGGACGAGAGGACTCTAGCCGCCACGCATATAAAGGATTTATAGTGAAAAACTTTGTTTTTACGGGTTATACTTGTTTTCCCCCCCATCAACCGTCACGCAAGTGAACGTTCGCTCCTATAGCTGCATCTGCAGTGCAAGTATTTCTGGGACTGGCAGCGAGCGTGTTAAAGAGAGAGGAAGGAAATCGGTTGGGCCCCATTCCCTTGGGGCATCTTTGGAATGAACAAGTTTTTAAATAGCCGCTCGTAAGATAATACAATCCGATCTCATTGTTACTTGTGTATTTCGTTGGCTCGCGATTGTGTTATGCTGGGGATGATACTAGCCCGGAGCCTTCGGCGTTTCCATTTAAAGCGTTCTGCCACGGGGGAACACGGTGCCAACGTTTGTGCCCGCGCTTTCTCGAAACTCGGGTCTCGGGGGGGGGGGAGGGGGGGGCGCGGCGTGGGCTCGCAAATGGAGGTGCAGGACTGATTCAGATGTCAACTCGCCACTGATATCAGCCCTGGCCAGGAATTAAACTTGCGTCGGTGGGTTCATAGCGCAGTGCATCAACCACTGCATTGCCCACTCCACCCCAGATGTTATAAGAATATTAATCTAATCTTCAATGTCGTTGCAATGTACAAAAACAAATCTGTACATTTTCAATCAGAAAAATGCCACATTTCTGTGTTTTCTGTAAAGCTAAATTTAAAGCCACTGATGCAGGAAAATATTCCTCTTTCCTCCCCCAGGGCTCTAGAGTCACGTCGAATACCATTTACGGAAGCTCACGAGTTGTATTAAATAAATGCACCTAGTTTTTGGGGATGAATGGAATGTTGTTATTCGGCTCCATATTAATTTGCAATAATAATACATCTCATAAATGGGTGCACACGCACTGTACACAAACAAATCTCAAAAGTGAAATCGTCTTCATAAGCATTGAAGCTTATGTTGATCTCACTTGTGCCACCCTTGAGCTGGTGGTCGAATTTCTTTGTGCCTATGGTGGGTGGGTCGGTGGGGAGATGGGTGTGTGGCTAAGAGAGATGGTTTGGGGATATTAATTATTTGGGTGTTTAATTACTAAATATTTGGGCTTTCTGCCCAGTTGAACTCAGAATATTTTGTACAATGTCGTGATCCGGCTGGTTAATTGGAGGAACACCTGCTGCTTGTGTTGGGTGAATTTTTTTTTTCAATTTGAATTTCGAATGTGGAATTTGGGCCATGGAACAGTCATGCAATGACTTGCGCCGATAGATTAAGTTTGCCGTTTGAGCCAGTTACCCAACCAAATGATTTCGTGGTGTGTTTAACTTCCCTTTGCGACAGCGACCGGCTCTGTAGTTGCAACAGAACGTAGGTGTATTTTAACGTGCCGTGTATAAATGCCGTGTAATTTAAACGACACGTTAAATTGTTCTTGCGTCATTGGTCATGCCTTGTCCGATTTAGGCCAAAGTGTGAAAGCAATTTTCTCTCTGGTACTGAGAGGAGAGGAGCATCTTCATGTGTTTATTTTTATTTCTGGCTACCCATGTTGAGGATCGGTTCTAAGTTTCAGGTAGATTTTTTTGTTGACCCAGGTGAGAACTCAAGAGGGCCAGGGTGTAGTCTGAATTGCAAGAGTAACCTGGGGTAGTAGCGCCTGCCAGTAGTGGACTATGATTGTTACGTATCATCCCAATAAAGCAATTTATGCAAATATCTCAAATCTAAACCCTGATGCTGCTGGTACCCCCCATGGCTTATTCTTGCGACTAATCGCAGGGGGATCTTTAACGTCCGCTGAATCAGACGGCGCGCGCGTGGTTATTACACCGGGCGCTGCCACTCGATTCGAACTGCGCCCTCTGGAACAAGTAGCGGAAGCACTTTTACCGGGATGCCGCATCGCGATAAGTGCTTTTGGGGCAATGCTGTTAGCGAAGTAGCACCTATGACGGTCGGCACTGTGGCACACGAGGGGGTGGGTGGCCAGCACCACGCCCGGCCACCTTTGTCTCCCGATTGGCGATGTTTACACACCGTGCTAGGTACTCATTTGAGGCTGAGTCGACCTAGGTAGTGGAGGCCCAGGGCCAGTTCCGATAATCGTCTCACTTGTGTTGGCTGCGAGCCGGAATCGAACTCGGGTCACCGGATTCGTAGCGCAGCGTACTAACCACAAACACTGAAACGGACATTTTCAACGTCAAGTTATAATTATAAATGCGTTGACGAACAGAAAGTGAGATCGACAAGCAGCCTTTTTGAAAAAGTATTTTTTTATTCTTTTTAAAATGAGCAAACCAAGATTATCCCAACAACCGTCGCTTTAGAATACCGCTGGTACACTGGCCATGGCATCGAGCACGGATGTGTACTAATTCTGAACACACACGTCATTGAATGCATAAACACAACGCGTAAAGCAGAACATGTCACCAAATGAACATGGGAGTACAAAAAGTTAGGGAATGCGTTGGGCTGCGAGTTCCCAGGCAGGTAAGAGGAATTAGCCTTTGATTTGAGTCATTTCAACCGATCTCCTCACTCCACGTTATGTTTTCCATCTTTTCTTTTTATCTTAAACTTTATTCTCAACTCGGTAGGTGATGTGAAAGCGTTGCAGTTTGGCAGAGTGCCCCGTGTGCCCCGAATTTTCGGGCAAGGTGTGACGCGGCCGCAGCGAATTAGATTACGAGTTGGCTTATCTTGGAATTTTGGCATCGTCATTTTTCTCTCCGAAGGCGAAAATGGCTTTCAACGTTTAAACCGTTATCGGATATATCTTTTAAATACACTATGTACAAGTATGTACATCGCGTGTCCACGTGGCATTTGTCCTCTTAAATGCTCCGCAGCAGCGGCTGCCTTTGGACCACGGATTTTGTTCTCGACAAATGTGCGCGCGTTCCGCATCGACACCACAACAAAACGAAAGCGCAGTAACGTCGTTGGCCACGTTTGCTCCAAGGATAAAACATTTTCGGAACATAAATCGGTGAAACAAGCGAGTTGCGTTTTCCAGGGGTTGCTCCGTGCATAGTTTGGCGCGAAGTCCGTCGGTTCACTCAACCTGCCGGCACGAGCTTCTCGAGGAGGACACGAAGCTCCCCCGGCACGTGGACCAAAAACGGGCGGACGAACATTTTGCGACGTACGACCCCGAAAATAACACGCCGGTTGAGAAAAGCCTCGCACGGTACGCCACGCCACGCGACAGCGCCTGGAGAGTTCGTTCTCGGTTTCAATTGCTCCCGGCGGCGGTGGCGGCGGCGGCGGCGGCGAGCGAGAACACCGCGCACAGCGCTTGCTGTCCACGGGGATGCCGCTCGCAACGCCGGAGAACCCTCTCCTGCCTCGTCCACCATTTCGCGGCCGAAGCCTTAAAACGACAAGGAAAGACCAACCGCGTACGAAGCTGCACGAGGGGATGAAGAAATTAAGAGACGGAATGGTGGCAACCAAAGCGGGATTATTGTAGTGTTGGCATCTGCAATGGGATGCTTTTGTCTAGCTGTGAATAGAGAATGGCTGACAATGGCCAGTGGTAATTTTGTGCGGTAGCATTATGCTGGGGTAGCCTTAATTCGCCTGTAGTTTGAAATTGGCTGCTGTGTTTTTTTTTCTTCTTCAGAGACCAGAATTTCATCTCCATGTGAGCGCGTGTAAAACGAGCTGTGGTCATTTGAATTGCGCGTGGTTGGTTTGTTCGCGAGCTTGAATGCTTCTTCTCGGTAGGTTCAAGTTTCACTATTTAGTACTGCGTATTGGCTAGCAGCTGTTCTTAACTGATCCAGCCGGGCTGGTGGGAATGCGGTCAAAGTTAGAGCGCATGCACGCAAAAAGACGTGACGCCCATGGGGAGTTTGTGAGATCACAAAGCCTAACGTGAATCGTGTCTGCAAGCAGATTTGTGGCGTTTTCCAGGATCGGCATTCCGCTGTGGTCATGCAGTGCCGATAATCCCAAAAAGTGTGAACTGGTACAATACATCCACTTTAGCCCATTGTTACAAGTATATATGTGCTCTTGACCCCAGCTGCGAAACGTAATTTGACCCTATAAATGCGGCTTTACTTACACTCTGCGTAATTGGCCCCAGAATCCCCATGATCCCTTGTGGATTCATCGTCTTTTTCGCACGGAACAAATGTGCCTTTTATTTTCATTTTCTCCCTCCTGTCGATGCGAACGTGGACGAACGTCCGTCGGTGAAGTCTAATGGTGGTGCTGCTGGTTGCTTGTGCAAACTCAAGCATGGCGAGCCGCTGATTTTAACTCTCACAAATCCTCGTACTGCGATCAACAATCGGAAGGTCCGGCGTCTGTGGTCTTTTGCCGGATATGTGCGAGCCAGTGAGCGCGTTTACATCTTGTGCCCGCCCCCCCCCCCAAAGCCTAATGATAAGGATAAGCGTGTAAATCCAGCGCCGGTGTTAAGTTACGCCCGTGGGACTGCATTTCGGCCTAAATGTGGCGGGCAGGGGGGAGGGTGCGTGGTAACTGGGCTAGAAGGATATGGAGTGAATTTTACGGGAAAGTTGGTGTGATTCGTGACCTTGTTTCGTGCTTTGAGCACCAGCGACCGATAGCCGCCACGGTGGTGGGATGTTAACGACCTCGCCTGGTATACAGGAAGTCGTTCGTGGGTTCAAGCCCGACCTTGACGCCTATATATTTGGAGTTTGTATGTTCTATCTTTGTATTTTTCTCCGGGTCCTCCGGTTTTTCACTCCACATTTAGAAACCTGCGTTTCGAGCAGTTGGTTGCTATAAATATCCACATAATAATCCAGTTTGTTGATCGATCACTTGTAGCCAGGTAGCTTCTGAAAAAGAGTCTTACCTGGTAAAATAAAAAAAATAGTTAAGTTGAGTTTTATGTTGTCTTGCATTGTCATAAGTAGTTACGAAAAACATATCCGGGGATTGTGCTGAGCAATGAAACATTGACCAATCAGGTTCACTCTACGATGCATCCGTAGTCAAGTCAAGACAAGTGTTTTCCCACTCAAGACACGTTGGGGTACCAGTCGCTTCCTTTTCCACATTCCTGCGGTGGGGGCCTGTCTCTCCACAGGATGACCACTGTCGGCACCGAGGTTAGGGCGCTCGACATCAATACAATTACCAGTTCAAGTTCTGCTCAGGGCTCAACGCTGCCCATCATCCCCTGGGGATGAATAAAATTAGTGCCACGTTGTGATTGATGGCTGTGCAAGCCCGGCGAACGTTCGCACGTTTCGCCCTGCCTCTATATCGGTGGGGATGGTGGCTTACTTGGCTTTTGTTTTACATTATTCTATCCCCGTGGATCAAAAAAATTAACGGAACAGAAACCTGCATCCTCCAATGCATTCAGCCGTGGTTGCCTATCGGTGTGTCCGTCCTCACTTGTCAAGAGTCATTTCAAAAACGGCAGTTCCACTAGGCAGCCGATTAAAATGAATGGCACATTTTTACAGTCGTTACAAAGACAGTATTCACAACCGCTCAAGCTGTGAGCGTTTGATATCGTGTGGTTTTTATTATTTTGGATTTTCTTGACGGGGCCTCTGGGGTTTTGTCCTGTCGTTGCAGAGGTGCAACATCTTCCCATTCTGAAAATTGCAGCCGTATTTCATAATTTAGTCAAAACATTTGGGCCATTGCTCCAAATAGGCAAACGCCCCCCTCCCTCTCTCTCTTTGCAAATGATGTCACAGGACCTTCAATAATAGAGGTTTTTGGATTAGATCGCGTAAATTACAAATGTGTCGTTAAACCCACCACCACCCGACACAGCCAATTAGTAAGGTTTGTCATGTAAACAGAACGTGTGTTGGAGAGTAAACCCACAACATTTACAATTCGAGTACTGTAGATCCGCCGGCAATTGCAACAACCAGCATCATCAGGCGACAGCCAGAGTTGTCCACTTTTAAACCAAGACAGAACGGTGCTGCGCCTTGTCTTCGGTCTCATCGACAGCAACACCTTAGAACGTTTCTTTTGTCATCGCATCAGCCGCAAAAAAACCATAATCGTTGTATAGACATTTCCAAATGCTGCGGAATGACAGAAAAGCGTGCTGATTGTGGGACTCAACGGGAGGGGTCGTTAAAGCAAAGCCCCTATTTGCGGCGAGACGAAACTGCCTTGGGGTTTATTTAATGAGACAATTTGCGAGGTGGGGAGGGGGGCGGGAGAGAAGTAAAATTTTGGGGGGGAAAAGGTCCCAACGACATGAACTGTAAACACTTGCGGGCATTCGGAATCGCTCTTCGCGTTAATAACTCGTGGGGGATGAATGAGAAACCGTTTTAGAATAGTAATAGGAGTTTTAGTGGAAAGGTACGTTTTGTGGAACGTGTAAATGAGGCCTTCACTTTGCAAACAGGCAAAACCAAGCGATTGTCTACTCCTTGGCAACCTTTTGAAATGGTCTTAAATGTACGCTTACAGATGTAAAACATGATTAATGTTGGTGTCTTAAAAAAAAAGTACTATTTACATGTATACAATTTCTTTCGGGAATAGATTTCGCAACTTGAGAAATAGACATTTTCATGTTTTTATTCCTGTCTACATTTTGATTGTTTCGCGTGCGTGAGCAGTAATTATCAGTAATTGGCAGTATCCGCGCCTTCGTCTAGACATGTTTTCATGTATGTACGTACGTTGAACTTCTTGCGCACCGTACGTAGCCAACTGCGCTAATCGGAGGTGCTGTTTTGGTATCGAACATTGCTGTCCCCTCTTTCGATGCCCGCAAGACGACGTCGCGGGTAAGTACAAGTACGCACCGTGGCGTGGCTGCACAAACGCGCGTTGGCGTTCCGCGCTTTCTGCCGTGCGACCCCTCCCCAACGCAAAGCGTTTCCAATCGCAGCCGCGTGTGAAATCTCTCAAGTGCAAATACATTTAAATATTCAGGTAGTCTTTATTATAAATAGCCGTGACACACATCGATGTCGCGGAGCCGCTCGGGCGTGCGCGCGCTCATACGGGAATAAAGTGAGTTTCCAGCAATCTCTCCTCGATGTAGCGCACGTTCTGCGGCCCGTGTCCCGGCTGCAGCTTGTACATGTTACTGGTCCAGTCCGAGTAGCCCGGGTGGATGCCGTAGGGCTCCGGACACAGCGGGTCGTTGCCCGCGCCCATTCGGGTACGAGCTCTCGCTCATCTCCAGGATGGAGTTGTCCTTCTTGGTGCCCGACTCGACGTAGTCCCCCTCTTTCTGCCGCGAGCGGATGAATGCCCACCGCGACACCAGGTACTTGCCCGTCTTGTGCGAGTACCAGCAGAAGCTGCCCAGCAGCACGGCCGCGACCAGGAAGGCGACGGAGCCGCCGACGATCGCCGCCGTCGGGAAGGGCGCCTCCCCTCCGGCGCCGGCCGCGTCGCCGCCGGACGTGACCTTGGCGTTGCGCGACTCGGGCCCGCCTGCCTTGGCGACGGTGCACACGGCGCCGTCGTCGGCGGCGTACTGCCGCTCACCATTGCCCGTGTCGATCGGCTCCAGGCAGACGCGGTAGTTTGCCAGGGGCACCAAGTCGGTGAGCAGGTGGAGGCGCACGTCCCCGGACAGGATCACGGTTTTGGTCGCCCCCCCCGCGGCGCCGCCGGGCCCTTGCCCCTCCAGCACCCAGCTCAGCTTGTACGCCGACACGGACACGGCGTCGTGCCACTTGACCTCGACGATGTCCTTGCTCAGGGACGTGGCTTTGAGGGCGATGTCGAGGTCCCTCGGCTCGTCGGGCACCACCGCGGTGGACGCCGCCGGCCTGGCGGTGGTGAGCCCCTTGCCGCCGGAAAACTCCGTGGGCGGAAATCTCTCCGGCCTGGCGGTTGCCCGTTGGTACCACCTCTTCGTGGACGCGTTCGAAGGATCGCCGTCGGCCGACGCGGTCGGCGTCTGTCCCGAGCACGCAAAATCCCCGTGCTCCAGATCCTTGATGGCTTTGCCCCTGACGCCGCCGGGGCCTCCGCACACGGCGCCGCGCGCCGCCACATTGTTCCTCACTAGCCAGGCCCTCAGCCAGGCGAGGCCGCAGTCGCACCGCCACGGGTTGTTCCTGAGGTTGAGATGCCGCACCGCTTCGAGGCCGTCGAAGGTGCCCGGCGCCAGACGGCTCAGCTGGTTGTGCGACAGGTCGAGGTGGGCGAGCTTTCCGAGCCGCGCGAACGCCGCGACCGGCACGCGCTCTATCTGGTTGTCGTGCAAGAGCAGCTTGCGCAGGCTCGTCCCGGGCAGCTGCGGCGGCGGCGCCCTCAGGGAGTTCTTGGACAGCGAAAGCTCCGTCAGCTCGTCGAGCTCCCGGAAGGCGCCGTTCTCCACGCCGTCGTCGGCTATGAGGTTCCCGTCGAGGTTCAGGAACCTGAGCTTGGTCATGGAGCGGAATGCTCGGGCGGACACGGAGGCGATGCGGTTGTCCTCCAGGCGCAGCTCCTCCAGGCCGGCGGGCAGCTCGTTGGGCACCGAGCTCAGGTGGTTGCGTGAGAAGAAGAGCAGCTTGAGAGCGCCCAGGTAGCGGAAGGCGCCCGCCTCGATGCCCGCCGTGGCAATGGCGTTGTCGTCGAGGTGCAGCTTCTCGAGGGCGGGAACGCTCGCCAGCGCCTGGCGCGACACCGTGCGGATGTTGTTCTCCTGCAGGTGGAGCTCGCGCACGCTGCTCGGCAGGTGGTGCGGGAAATCGTCGAGGCGGTTGCCGAAGAGGTAGACGACGGTGACGGAGAGGAGGGCGCGCGTGCCCGCGGGCACCCCGCCGCTGCCCACGCGGTTATTCTGCAGGTAGAGGACCGTGGCGTCGGCGGGGATGTCTGCGGCGGGCACGGCCGTAAGGTTGCGCTCGTTGCAGTAGACGAAGCCGCGGTCGCAGCGGCACGCGGATGGGCAGCAGCGAGCGGGTGCCGGCAGGCAGGCCGCCAGCGCGGCGCACGCCAGCAGCAGCGGCGCGTGGCAGCGCCGCATCGTCGCCCCGCGGAGGGGGGGGGGGGTTTCTGTTACAGCGCCGTCCGGAGATCTGCAGGCGCACGTACGGCAAGGGAGGGGGGGGGAAGAGAGAGGCTGTCAGAGAGGGCCGCTCGCTGCGGTGTCTGCGCGTCGTGCCGAGGCAGCGCAGACACCGGAGTCGTCGGGTTCGTGTCTCGGTGCCACTCGAGGAGCGCGTTGACGGTGCTCCGCCCGGTGGACTGCGACCGCCCCGCAGCAGCCGCCGCCATCGTCGGGTAACAAAGTTCAGCGGCAATTGCCAATTCTTGTTATGTCTGCTTCACGTGAGCATCTGTCCTGAGTGAACCCTGAAGGAATTCGGTTTGAAACACACTGCGTCTGCTGTAAGTGCAGTTGTGTGGTAGCCTGGTTAAAATAAGGGGAGGGGGGAGGCGATATTTTTTTCTTAAAAAAACCAGAATTCGTTGAAATAAAAATGGCAACATTCACATGTGTGGGAATGTTAAGTGAGAGCATATTATTTCACCTGCAGATGGTATCACTCGTAATAAAATGGACAAAGACGCACTTTGTAGCGTACGATGTAATTTAGTCGTAAAATAAAAACTTGGGATTTTTCTTTTTGTGGAAGTTTAATTCAAAAAGTAATAAGCTTACCGGTAATTGCTCTCCCATAATCAGTGCATGTGTTTCCAGCAATTAGCTTTTAGAGTAAATTGCCGAACGTAAACCCTTCTCTCCACGCCCTAATGTCCGTGTGATGTTTGCTCGGCCGTGCGAGCGGAGTAAAGTCATGGCGCCCGTTGTGAAATTGAAAAAGGGAGAGTGATGCGTGCACTGGTGCACGTGAGTTATTGCATAAAAACTGAAACGCGCGGCGTAACGAGCAAATCCGGTGATGCGTGCGCGAGCGCACTTCATCTCACGAGCTCGCAGAGCGGGAGTGAAATCCTTAATTTGCACTCGCTAAGTTGGTGGAACCGGGGGGCGCGCGTGGTGTCGGGTGTCTCCGCGTTTTATTTCCTTGACTGGCAGCTCGCACGAGCTATGCTAATAAATAGCCCTCGTTTTCGCGTGGCTTCGGTTTTTCTGAAACTTCTATTTATTTACGCAAGCGGTTGACGCCAATTGCCCGGCCCGATAACAGGTGTTCGGTCCCCCCCCCCCTCCCGCCTATTGATTGGAAAACCTTCGTGTTGTGGTTCAAAATCCGAGCACAAGGTGTCTTTGAGACCGATTATTAGTAATATTATTGTAGGGGGGGGGGGGGGGCTATGAATTGTGTGCTGCGGTGTTGATGTTAACTCCCTCGCCTGGCATGCAGGAGGTCGTGAGTTCGATCCCTGACTGATGCCTGTATATTTGGAGTTTCTCCCAGGTCCTCTGGTTTTTCCCTCTACTTTTGGAATCGGCGTGCATTCAGAATATTTGGCTGCTATACATTTCCACGTGATAAGCCACTTTGTTGGTTGAAGGCGGCAGTTTGTGACCAGGTCGCTTCTCGAGCTCGGTGAGTCTTAACTGGTTAAATAAATACAGTTTCATTTAATTGACCGAATCGACTCCAATTGACCCCGTGTGAATTTGTGCACGCGTGTATATCTGTGCAAATGTGTAAACAAAGATCCCCTCTGCTATGAGGGCAAGTGCTGTTACTTGCTTTGGTAATCACAGTTGCATTGTCAGTATTATTTTCATCTTTCCAAACCGTCTTATTCCTGCTCATTTTCTCTTCCAAATGAGCAATTTGGTCGATGAAATTGACAGAGTAATAATACAATTTTGTTCGAGCATGCATTGTGCTTTTTTGATAATAACCTCCCGAAATAACCGGGCAGTGGCGGGAGTTGAACCGTGGACAGACAGAGTTAGTCGTTCGTGTGCTTATCTACCACCGCGCAATACAATTTGAATTCCGTTACCAAGGAACCAATTAAAGTTGCAAAAGTAATATTTCACCTGTGGTACGCTTTCAAACAGTGGTGACATTTCACAGAAATAATTCCGCTTCATTTTTCGTTTAGGAAGTCTCTTCCCCTTTGTCTATGAACGTCTCTGGGGGTCAAGCAAAACTTTGAGCTCAGCTTCCGATTGCATAATTCACTGCGTTTATTTGATACACCATTTATTCACGGTGGCTGGAGCAGCGTCACAGTGGCTCTGGCTCTGCACTATATCTCGGTTCGACTCCCAGCCGTGGTTAACATCGGTGGCGAGCGATGGATGAACTGTGGTCCCCTGCTACCCACCGCTAGCTACCCCTTCATCAACGAACGCCGACCGGCGTGGTGAGGCATGGTCGAACAACCCCCATGTTCCAAACGGTACGGGGGAGATCGTCATCCAGAAGTGGGTTGTCAAAAGGGGTTTAAATTTGAATGAGACCTTTTTATATAACGTAGATAATGAAAGCAGGTGAGCCGAATGTTGAATATATCAGCTCAGTCTCTTATTAAAAAGGCTCTTAGCTTCAATAAATAAAGAGAGGAATAACAGACTGATGGTTATACCAATCGCCAATGAAATTAACTTTTAACATCTTAACAGCTGTATTATGCGAAAAAGTTTTTTATATAAATAAAATGGTAGGCACTTGATGTTTTTTCGCTTGGCTTGGCTCTCCAAATCTTTCAGGGCTACACTTGTATATTATTTTAAGTCACATTTTTTCATCACGTACATTGTGGTGGACTACCCTGTACAGCGTGCATTCGTCTTGTCCATGTTGTAGAAGAAGCCGATTTAAAAAAATATTTAAATTCGGTTTAAATTCATTGTTGGGTCGTCCACAGTTGCGTAATGTATGCTACAGGCTCCCCCAGCGGACCATACACAGTGTATACATTCTATATTAAAATTCCGTGATTTGAATTCGTATATCAGGGGCTGTGTTGGCAGTGGCATGCGACTACATGACAGTTCTTGAGCATCATCGTCATTCACAAACACCACTGCCTTGCTCTCTGAATAAAGTGTAATACGCTATCGACCGAGCGGAGAAAGATGCAGATCATAGTGACTTGAACGTGGAATGCACACCCAAAAAAATTGGCCACAATATTGGCCACGGGCCCTCGTGTTGGCGAGAAAAGGAAAACAAAGTAAAAGTTGCAAGGATGTCGACGCACTAATAAAAGAAAGATTGATCGCTATCGCCCCATGCCTCGTTATCAACACCGGCGTGCAGGCGCGTGCAGCCATTTCCTGGGCACGATGCCGGCCCGTCTCGCCCACAATTCCCACAAAAAAAAGAGGTTATGAGGATGATGCCCCCTCGAGTATTTTTTTCTTCTGATTTTGAACAACCCGCATTGTCAATGGTGTCGAGCCCTCGCACGGCAGAGCGTGGTGAGCTACGACAGCTGATGTCACACGTTTGTGAAACTCGCAAACCCGCTGGGCTGCGAGTTTGCCAGGAGAAGGGGCAGTGCAATAAGCGGGTTTGTGTGAACTTGTCTTTGCGGATTGTTCAGTGTATTCCGCCGTATGGAGGGTGGGTTTGCTGCAGGCAGTGTTTTCCCACAAACCTCCACATGATAAGCAATGCCTAGAAACGACATTGTTCAAATGTACCAACTCCGTAACTCGCAGTCATCAAATGCAGATTGATAGGGGGTGTGTGGGTCACTTGATGAGATGGCTTACAATCCTGAAGAGACCAATATTGAGGAATGATTGTTTTGTAATTGGATTTGCATAATGCTTGTGCCTAATCGGCTGCTGCTGCTGCGTGCGTGTTGTGCTCACTGCATCCGTGTACTGCTGCTAATGTGCCTGGAAGGGAAACATGCTTACAGACGCAAATATAGCCTCGTGTTCATGATACCTTCAGTCAAAAAAGTGACATCATGCAAATTTGTTGATTTAAAAAAATCATGATATTAACCTGCAATCATAGTCCACAGGGTTATGTTTTTTTTGCTGCGTATTTAGATTCGAGAGGGATGGGCAAAATAAGGATGTCAGATTCTGTACGGATGAGCTTGTTAGAGGTCAAACTGTAACCACGTTTCTATTGAAATTGCGCATATTTCAGTTTGGATACGACTGTAATTGTACATTTACGGTCGTTGTGTGAATACCATTTGTCAGAACCCATCAACTGTTGCCATCAACCTCAGTGGGGGAGGGAGGGGTCCTTCGAAGCTGATCTACAAAATGCTAGAATTCGTCCATCGAACAATTGAAGGGAGTTTGCCAAATCTTGGCCATGGTGCCAGCAGACGGGGTTTTCCTTAAATTGTGGCATTGTACAGCCGCTTATCTACGACCGTTTATCCCTCAATGCACCATTGGTTGTTGCCAAATGTCCAACGGTGCCTTTTTGGTTGGTTTATGGATCAGCAATGAATGTATGTATGTGTGTGCAGTCTACACTAATTGGCTGCCATGCCCCAAGCACTTATGCAAAACGATGTATTTGTTGACATAAGGAACAGGCTGTTTTGAATGGCAATGGTAATACGAGCATTTCACACGCTCCGAGCAATAATTACATGCAGTGGCTAAGAGTAAATGTAGTTTATATGCACCTATAATGCATTTTTCCCCAGTTATATAGATATGTGAATATATTGATAGATGATTATTGGTTCTTTACCCTTTTATCTGGCAACAAAACTGACACATTTTTTACGAGGAGTCATGTTTGCATAGACCACAATACCTGCAGTCATAATGCAAACAAAAAACATAACTCCGATAATGTATGCACTGTCCTTGAAGTTGATTGGTCCACACCCGAGACAGCTTTCCTTAGAGCCTAGTCTCACATGGGTTGGACTAGATGACGCCAAAAGGCGCACAACTCAAAGACAATGCACCATCAGAGTATGAGAGCTCGGGGTAAGCATTTACACCATTGGTACCTCATTTGCCAGTAAAAAATATGATAAGTGGTTCTTTACCCTTTTATCTGGAAACAAAACTGACACCTTTTTTACGAGGAGTCATGTTTGCATAGACCACAATACCTGCAGTCGATAGATGTGTACGTAGTAAGGTCTTTGTTCAAGACTTATCCCGATCAGCACGGTTGGCTAACTACGTACATCCATAAATCCCAAATGT